AAAAACTTAGATAGATTGATATAGAGTGGTTTGGTTAATTTTCTTTCATACTGGTTCTGTTATTTTTGCTAGATTGTATGAGTATCTATATTTGTGTGTTAGCGTCCATATGCAATACGGTTCCTAAATCTCCAGTTTCGTAACTTCATTATCATGCTTACAAGCTCATATTTCACTATCTCAACCATACTTATTTACGGACATAGGCAGTCTCGGTCAAAGATCTTCTCTTGGGTTACTAGGTCTGGAGGATCAGAACAGGAGATTTAACCTTTGACATTGTTTTCGCAACTCGGTCATATTGGTAGGAAGACTTAAAGGAATGCACCTAGTCCGAAGTCCATAGTATGCATCATTATTTTCAGAGTAGGACCGTGGACGTGGTACATTCCCAAACGTTTCGCCGGCATCGTCAGTAAGTCTTGCCATTCGTTGCACCATATTACAAACTCGTTCTAAATCGTTTTTGACCATGTCAAGAAGAGATAATATGAACAAAAAACCACCTGCAAAGGCATGTGTCCAAAAATCTGAACGCACTAATCACAGCTTAGTGGTAGAAAGGTTAGCCGAGGACTTTTGCATAATCCAAGAATCGCTATAATGCCAGTTCTTTAATCCCTTTCTGCCGAATTTCCATTCTGAATGAAAGGTCAGGTCAAGCTGAAAGATTAAGCGAAACCCAATTTCCCTTCAAATAGTGAATAAGAATATAACAGGGCACAGAATATAGTGAAATTTAAATGAACGATAGGCGGCCTACAGGGGAGACACTAAGATAAGGAAGAAGCAGTTGACATGATCAGATAATTCTAATAAACGACATGGAATTCGAAGTCTCCCCTTGTTCTCAAAAGGTCAGGTTCAACTTAGACGGCCAAAGGCTGAAATTCTAGGTCTACTTATTATAAATGACCCAATGTCGAGGGCATTTTAACGATGTCAATACCCAGTAGCGAGTGATTCACAAACCCCGCAAATACAAATCAGAAATGGAATCACCTGCTTTTTAGAAGAATGAATAGATAAGTACAGTGTGCAAACTAACGAACAGTGATATCCCTAAGTAGCGAGGCATACAACGATAAGTATGAAAAGCTGATGAAGAAGTCTAGGCAGAAGCTTTAACATTTCAAATATAATAATTCGAAGTCTGACTCAGCCATGAGGGTGGACGTGAATAGTATTTACATTTTTATAGCAAGCATTGAATAAAGAAGAATAAGATGATAGAATTAAGTTCACTAGATATTATCCGCAAAACAAGACGGTATCAACATGAAAAGGTAGGAAATAAAATAGCCCGATGTTTAGCTCAAGTAAAATTTGGTAAATATAGAAATATGTACATCACAGGAAGAATTTGTAAGTATAAGGCAATTCATTTTGGGCTTTTTGACTGAGTTGCACAATGCATACGGTTACTATGGCGAACTAGCATTGCTTTTTGTGAAAATAAAAGACCACAGTCAGCACATTTGTGAGAACGCGACTTCAAGTGTGTAATCATATGTCGTGCTAAAGTTGCACTCTGAGCGAACCGAGCATCACACAAGCTGCATTGAAGTGTCCGACTTTTTGTATGCGTGAGGATATGACGCCGCAGCTGCCAAGCCGTGGGAAAGTTCCTATTGCACATCACGCATTGATTTGTGTCACCTGTTTGTACCAGCTGACACTTGTGGTTAGTAAGCAGAGAACGTGAAGGGAACTTTTGACGGCATCGACGACAGTGAAATAGTGTAGTTACTAGAGCATTGGAGACCTTGGTGATGAGCGCTTCTTTATCAGGATCATCACATGCATTTATTGGAACATATCTACGCCGACCGAAAACATTTCCCCGCGACTTTACGGGGGGAAACGACGAGGCGCTTGAGTTTCCTGTGTTTTGTGGATCTGGTGAGTGGCTATCAGATAAAGAAAATTGGTTATCAGAAAATGAATCACTCTTATCTAGAAGGGCTTGCGAGTCTGAAGAACAAAAGGATCCCTTGACGCCATGTTGGTTAAGTAATTCTTCAACTTCCATGTAATCTATGTCAACTCGTGACCGAGACAGGCCTGAAGGTGAAAGTTTATTGATCTCTGAAGACTCAAAAATATGGCCTCTGGCTAGAGCTGCAGAGATCTGCTCGGAACCTGTGCCCGAAATAAGTTGGAAAACATCGGAAGTTGATTCGTCATCTATGGCTGGAGCTGGTACAGACTCAAGCGAAACATCCCTGTTGAGCGAATGATAGTATATAATATTAATGCTAGGATCTTCTGACCCTGAAACCAAATGCTTATTGATCGGCAATGACTCTTGTTCCCCTCCGAAATAGACGAGCCTAGTGGTCTCATCTGAGTAACCTGAGACATTGGCGGGGTCTGAAGTCTGTCTACTAGAATGTCCAGTCTCATGGTCCTCTACGGTGTAAGAGAGAAGACAGAATTCTGATCCTTGAGCTGGTGGGTCGAATACGTCGGCGGATGCAACACTAGGGCGCGTCTCGATGTCGCTTGAAGGTAAATGAGTTATCTCGACGGATGACGGCTGATCTGAGACAATTGAAGAGGGAATATTTGTGACAGTACTAAGTAGGGCTGAGTGAAGAGACGTACCAAGGTGATTTATTTGAAAGGGAGTAGCATCAGTTTCGGCTACTAGAAAATGGTCATTAGGCGCCTCATAAGTGACGATGTAACGCTGCTCAGCTGAAGTATTTGATGTATTCACGGACCTTGAAGCATGTTGCTTGGACAAACCCGTGAGATTGCAGACGGGTTGTCGGTCGGTTGAAACTGGTTGGATATTAGGGCAGTCGCTATGTTTGACAGTACAATCTAAATTATTGGGCTTTCCTGGCTCTTTCGGAGCTATATTGATATGATCGAGAAGCATTTGCAGACTAGAGAAATTCAGGTGGCAATGTGCACACAAAAATTCTTGGGCATTGCTGTAGCAGGCAAGGTCGTGCCCAGTAGCCGTGCTAAGATAAAATGAATCGGCCTGACAACTCGACTCAATCACCTCTTTGTTAGAACCAGCTTCTTGTGAATTTGATACATTGTGCACGTGAAGAGGGTCTATTATTTCGGTGACGTCTTCGTTTTGTGCGAGTGGATTCATGCGACCGGAAAGAAGATGTGAAGAAGAAGGGCACAAATGCATGCTCGACACTTGATTTATTGGCTAGAATAAAGTAGCAATGAATAAAGATTGAAAAATCAAACTGCACAAAAAAAGGGATGAAAGATACCTAATGAATATTTATGCGTAAATTGAGGAGGATATAAAAAAGCTTGAGAAAATCAATTAAAATCACTAAAATTCACATATGGCCGAAATTGCAGTGCTCACCAGACAGGAGGATATGGGAACAAGATTGAATCGTTTGTGGGTAAGTGATATGATACCAACAAAGTATTCATAAGCCTAAAAGTTTAGCGGTAATTTATCTAAGCAACTATTATTTAATCAAAGATATGAAGACCAAGGTAGTGTGGCTTTTTGTACGGTCGCGATCTCCTTTTGTTATATAGGAGTTGTTTGATCTTGTTTTCGCAACTTGGTCATAGTGGCAGAGAGACCTAGAGGAACTCACCTTGTGTTGAGTCCAGAGTATGCATAATTATTTCCAAAGTCTGGCCGTTTCGCCAGCATCGTCAATGAACCTTGCCATTCTTAGCACCCCACTACAATTCGTCAGAGAGATAAGCGAAGTCGATCTTTTGACCAATTGTCTGCTAAAGAGTTGTGGTATATCTTATTCTGTCCTGGGGTATTCACCTATCCCATATCCTCGTATCACCCCTTCAATATCAAAATTCCTTACTTGTTTACCTAAACCTATTTTAAACCTATTTCCACTCCCATCTGGTTCCCACATCCCTCTTACCGTGCCGGGATTGTTGATTCAAGGCTGCGGCCGGACAAAGACAATTTTTTAATTTTAGGAAAAGAAAATACAAGGAGACTAGAGAGAACAATCGAAAACCAAGAGGATATGTCTACAGTGAGTCTATTTAAGTGAGGTTAAACTATTACATTTGGGTGTCGGCACACAAGAGACATGAGCATATGAAAATCATAAAATTGGCATTAGGGATAGAAGAGCAAAAGAAAAGATGGTGATCATTGATAGTTAGCTATACATAGAGAAGTTTGCACATGCATGTGGTCCATGAAGTAAAGGCTTGACAACAAAATTTACTCCGTACATATGCCGCACAGCGATAAGGGAATCTGCAGCGTCAAATTAGGTTGCAATGGAAATTGAGAAACCAGACTTTAGAGGCTTGCTCAATGAGGCTGGTGTATACGTTTTATGAAAGGCTTGAGGTAGAGAATATAGAACATAATGCCTTGAGTAGCATGGATACGGTGGCAGTGATGGAGTGAAATCACTAAAGCATACAGATAAGGGAAGGATCATACGGAGCAGGAGGGGGACTTTGATAGGACCCTAAAAGAAAGAATTGCGGATTAAGCAGCAGCCTAGGATCAGTACTTCTGACACAGTGGGAGGGATGTGTAAACCAGCAGGAAATGTGAATAGGCTTCATATAGAGCTAGATAAAAAAGTAAGAAATTGTGATTTCTAAGGGTTAATATGGTGATATAGGATAGGTCAATGCCCCTGAACGGAAGGGAAGATATCACAACTGTTTAGAAGACAATTGGTGAAAAGCTCGATTTCACTTGTCTCTTTGATGACTTTTAGTGTGGTGCTAAGACCGGCAAGGCTAACTGACGATGCCAAATACGAATAAGGTCCGGCTCTGGAAATTACCATGCACAATATGGAGTTCGAGAACGATGCGTTCCTCTAAGCCTTCCAGCCAATATGACCAAGTTTCGAAAATAAGGCCAGACAACTTCTATACAGCTACTATTTAAATTATTTATTTTTACTGATACTGGCCAATATCTAAAAGATGTAACCCTGACTAAATAGGGAATAGATTTCGCTTTAGAATATTGGAATATCCAACAAGTCAGCTTACGTACTAACATAGGATAATTTTTTTAAACAATCAAACGCAAATGATGGCCTTGCGAATTTTAAGTCACGTAAAACGTGCTCCAGGACCGTATACACCATGGAAGCCTAATGGAAAATTTCCATCCCAGAAAATAATAAAAGTTAACAGGGATCTTGCTCATTAAATGGACCGTAAATGGCAGTCAGAAGTTCAAACATTTTTATTCTTTCAGACACCAACTAGATTAAATGGAAGTGACAATCTAATACTTGTCAGTGGCGATTAAAATGAAGAATTCCTTTACAAATCCTGACTTTAGTGAAGTCTTGGAGACATTCACAATAAGATAATAAAGTCAAATATATTTTTCAATTTCGTATAGATTTTCAAGAATATTAAAGAGCTAGCAACCGACACAAGGATGGTAAAGATTCATCAACCTTTAATCTGTACTTGCCTGTAAAAGGTCGCCTGGACTATCAGTTTCGGCAAAACTGTAAGCTCTTCGAGGTCGGATTCTTCGTTGACGAAATCCAGATACCGTTCTTGTTACAGACGGCATGACCGAGGAGACGACTGATGTAGAATGTTTCACCGAAGTTTTTTTAAGAGCCTTGCTTCTATCTGAAGTGGATATTCGTTTTGTTTTCTGCCCAATTTCATCAATGTGGCTTTTGAGGGTCCGTATGGATTTGAAGGTCTGTCGGCAGTGTGAGCATCTATATGGTGTAGGGAGAACAGATGGATGGTCTTGACTCGCATGAAAAGTCAGAAGGGCTTGAGTAGAAAAAGTGTGTGAACAAATAGGGCAAACAAAGGAGACGCATGAATTGTTATCATTTGTAGTCTGACCCTCTTCATTAACAATTGAGGATGCAGCTTCATGAGCTACTTGGTGGTTGATAAAGGCCACTAAGTTAATAAAAGTTCTGTGGCAATAGGGACACACATAAGGCCTGACTTCTAAACCGTGATTTCTCGACGTATGCAACTTCAAATGCTGACTATCGGCGAATACGGCATCACAGCGGCTACATCCAAAGAGTTTTTCGCTACAGGAAGAATTAGAGTCGAAGAGAGAAAGAACCACAGATTGCTGGGATGAATCATCAGAAAGATGACTAACCACATTCAGGTCGACAACTTCGGTGGGTTCTTTACTTGAATCCACCTGCAAACTAGGTGATAATCCGGAATAAAGACCGTTAAGCTGTGAAGTATCATGATAACCTAAGAAAAAGTAAAGATGAAAATGAACGCATCTCAACAGAAACAAAAATATCTATATAAGACATACCTTTACATGAACTTGGACCTGGATCAGTCAAGGCATCTTGTACAGTGGCAAACTTTAATAGATCGACCGAATCCATAGTATTCACAGTTTCCGAAAAAATGGCCTTGGGGCCCAATAGATAGTTGGTGGCCAACCTATGTAATGATTCGTCTTTAGGGACTTCTGAATTAAATGAAAGAGCATTTTCAGAACTGGATTCATCTAATGTCAGTCCCTTTGCTAAAGAATCTGATTCAATAACGAAAGGAATGGAGTCATGAACAGGGACTCCATTTTCTGATATATCAATCGAATGAAGGGGTTGGTCGTTGTAAGAATGCTCTGAATCGACACAATCGGGACCAGTAGAAACTTTTTTGACTGAAAAATGGTTGGGAATAAAATCAGCAGAACAGGCAGCATGGGAGTGAGAGATTTGGCCAAACTGAATACCGTCTATGTCTAAGGTTTGAGAAGCAAGGATATGACTTGAGGCAAAATCAGTTGCCAATAAAGTGTGCATCATTGAAGAACCTCCTTCCTGAAAAGCTGTGACTGTCGTATTATCTGAAGCTACTGCTTCGTGACTCCTATAGCCATCTAAAATTTCCCCGAGGTAAGCAGAGTTCTCCTCACAAGTATGAAGGATATCCTGCTTCTGGTTGACACCAGACTGTGCAGGATTTATATTAGATTGTTCAAAAGGCAGGCACGATGAGCTCAAAACATCTTGCTGGGCCTTCGTTTCATCCGCAGTCATCAAATGCGTCCCTTGCCCAAGTGGCTGACAATAACTCCCGTTTGCGTCAGTGGGCTCCATGCGCTCTCCAAGTGAATGCTTCTGAATATGAAGTCGACAGGCATTGCGAGATTTGAAACGAGCTTGACAAATAGGACAGAAAAAGGCCCTTTCATCACTATGAAGAGATAAATGGCGTTTTAGAGAAAGCTTAGAACTGAGTTGAATGCCACAAGTAGAGCAAGTCTGTTTCTGTGAAGAGATAGGACCTGAGTGCTTAGAAGTGACATGCCGATTAAGATTGGAGTGCTTCAGATACTTTCTCCCACATATATCACAGGGATGAAGAGTTTGTCCAGTCAAATGCCTTTGGCGTATGTGAAACTGCAGGTGGGGACAATATTTGTACGCATTCGAACAACTGGGACATTTAAAAGGTCTGTTAGGTAGATGAGAAGACGGCATGTCGGCAGGAAGCCTACCATTCGGACAAGTAATTCCGACGGGAACGGTCGAAAGTTTTTCAGTTTGATGATCCCATTTCAAGGGTCGAGCTTGACCATATTTGTGAACTCTTTTATGAAAATACAAGAAAGATGCACTCGAAAAGGAACGATTACATAAATGGCACTTGAAAGGGGTGTACGGTTTGGATTTGCGTCTTCTTATTAGTGGAGATTGTTGTAATATTACTGGAAGCATTCCATCTATGTTGGACGGATCCTTGTCTTCAGAAGCAGGAACAGGATCTGGTATACAGTTGTGCTCTTGCTGTATGTGTTTATTGAGCCTAACTGAGGAGTTAAATACACGATTACATTGAGCACATTCAACATAATTCGGATTGGAGTGCAGTTCCATGTGCTTTTTAAGCGTAAAGCATTGAGTGAAGCCCCGATTACACATCTGACATACAAATGGCTTTATCTTAGCGTGCGTTATTGCATGACGATCAAGCAGGCTTTTTTTTCCAAATGCATACTGGCAAATAGGGCATATGAATCTCTTAGCTCCTCCGGAAACACAATCAAGCAATGGTGGAGAGTTTGTAGCGTCCTGGTTGGTTTTTAAGAGCTTACTTGAGGGATCCATTGGAGGAGCCTTTTTTAAATATTTCGACAGAAATTGCATAGCACGGACTTTGCTGCGCCTAGTGATTAATTCTGGAATATTCTGTTGAACCACTTTTGGCTGATCAACTATAGTATCAATAGGCTCTTTAGAATACTTTTTTGTTTTCTTCATTTCAGCAGGGTGCTTATCAAGGTAATGTTTTCTCAATAACCCAGGTGAGTCAATAGGCAAGCCACACAAGCGACAGTGCATTTTACAAGCATTAGACCTATTTATG